TCTAAATAAAGCTTACAAAGCTCTTGGTGTAGCCCTTTGTAATGTATACATGCATTTGTACTCTGTGGCTCTTTTTAATATTTCCCCACCAGGGTCATGTTTTTGTCTGCAGAATATTGATCAAAGGTATTTATTTATTTTATCATTTATTTTGGTATAAGTCCTATATATTTCCAAAGTTCTATATATTTCATGATCCTCTTGTTTTAGTCTTCTGAGTAATAGGATTATAGACATGCACCACTAGGCCTGGTTTGATCAGATGTATTATTACTGATCTTGTTCCACTGATTTCTGTCTGTCTGGGGTACAAGATGCTTGCTCTATGAATAAGGCATATAGATGTTCTTTCTCTCATAAGAATCTATTCACACTTAAAATTCCACAATCAGATCACAGTATATCCATACCATAATTGTAAAGAATGCTTTTAAGAGATGCATGCTGTATTTGATCATATTCTAACAGGGCAGTGAAAAATTTCAATAGCAAATGTTGTTTTCCTTAAAGTATTTCCAAACAGAAAACTTTGTGTCAATCATCAAAGGAAAACATTCCTTCACTCATAGGCCTCTGAGGATCGTATAAATATCTTTATATGTGCTTCCAAAGCAAGGCCACCACTGACACAACTGGCAAAATATTTTATTTCTGAGGAGCTCTCCAAAGAGCTCTTGGTATTTTCAGGGTGAAGGCAGTAGGCATGCTTGCAAAAATGTTTATGTATATGATGATGCTGTGTTCTAAAAACACATTGCTTAGTCCCAACTTGATCAGCTTCAGCTGATATTTGGCAGTGTTTCTGTGCTTCTTTAACACTTGGCTTGGCCACTGGAGGCCTTTAAAGCCTTCCCTTATTCAGACCCCTTGTTGAAGGATTAAGTACAAAGAAATGCCTTTCCCAATATTTAATAGCTGTTTCCAAATCCATTATCATGAAACATTTGTTTCATTTTTGCATGAGCCTTTGATATTTATACAGTACAAGAGAAGAGCCTATTTGCTGCAGTTGAGGAAGAATTAATCATATTAGAATAGTAAGCATGTGGACAGCAAAGATCAAGCATGTATGTCATGGTTAAATGGCCTATGAACAAATCAGTCACCATACTCCTTCCCTACCAGATAAAATTTATTAAACAGCTTCATAAACTCCTTAACAGCTCTTATTTATTGATGAAAATTATTTTGTTACCCTGTTGTACTAATATATCTTTATCCACCATATTATTCAGTCTGTCTACTGCCTTTAGAAATATGTGGTTTTTCTTTATGAGATCATGTCTAGCAGTTGAAGGTACTTTGTACTGAAAGAAAAATATCAGCTGAATAATGCTCATTGTGGTTAAAATTATGTGGGTATATTTCCAATGAATTAAGGCACAATGAAAAGGTGAAGCTGTGAAGTTACTCAAAAGTTATATATAATTAATAATTCTTATTAAAAGAATTGGTAAAAATAGTAATTTCATTCAGTTTTATTTTTAATGTTGTAGGTTGATGATACTAAGGTTTGAACTCAGGGTCTACCACCTTCAGGGCAAGCACTCTACCACTTGAACCAGGCCTCTAGGCCTGCTCTTTGCTGGTTATTTTTGAAATAGGGTTTGCTAACTTTTCTGGTTAATATTAGATCCTATTTCTCTCAGCCTCCCAAGTAACTAAAGATTACAGATTTGAGCCACCAGTGCCTAGCTTAGAAAAAAATAATAATCTTATATTGTACATAATATTTTACTCTCCTCTGTATTCTAAAAACCTTTACTCATGTGAAACTCTCTTCATAATATAATAGAAACAGTCCTCTGAACCTGCTTCTATGGGTAGAAGCTTCCCACAGACAATGACTGAATCCCTAATCATTTCTGATTCTTTTCATTCTTTACTGCCTTGGTTGGTGTCTGGCAAGTCATAGTAAAGCCCAAGGAGCAGAGTATATTCATTCCTGATGGTCTCTGACTTGAATGAGTTTCTCAGAGATAGGGTTGTTTATGTGGAGCCAATGCTAGCCCTAACTGAAAGACTGTGTCTCTGGGTTGCATGTGTAGACTGCTCAGGTAGGTAGTGCAGAAGAAAGTTCTGTCATAAGCCAAGAAAGCAAAATATAGTCAGTTAGGTAGGTAATAAAAAGAGCATTGAATTTCTCATTACAGTGTAGTCTGTGAAAAGATTCATGGAAATGTGCTTGCACTGACAGGGCACAAGATTACAGTCAAGAGATTGAGCCCATGAAATAGGTGTTTCAGCCTTTCTTCTGTTCTAACATGAGAGAATACAAAGAGTAGAGTTTTGGTTAAAGGTTCTGGCAGTTGGTAGGCCAAGACGAAATGGTAGCCCCTGGTGAGGGGCCATAACATAGTAAAAAAGCTGAAGAATGGGTTTGTCACATACAGCGGAAACTGAGGAAGACTGTGTTTCCCATCCTCCTGAGAATGAATTCAGTGTTAGGTGTTACAAGAAAGGCATTACTCCCTCCTAGTTACCTGATCATAATATATCTTTCTACCTCCTTCTTTTCCTTCCCTTTCTCTCCTCTTCTCCTCCTTCTTTCTCCTCTCTCTCTCCCTCCCCCCGTTTCTCTCCTCTCCTCCTCCTTCTTTCTCCTCTCTCTCTCCCTCTCTCTCTCTCTCTCTCTCCCCCTGTTTCTCTCCCCCCCTTCCCCTCTCTCCTCTTTCTCAGCAGTACCTCTTCCTTGGCCATACCCACAGATTTTTTTCTTTTGTAGTCATTTTTTGGGGATATGGTCCTTTGCTTTTGCCGAAGGTTGACCACAGACCTTGACTCATTTAGCCATACTTCCAGTATAGCTGGAATTATAAATATGAGCTACCATGCCTAGCTTTTTTGTACCTGAATTTCCTTGGAACTGCAATTCTGCCATCTCATTCTCCTGAGCACATAGAATTCAAAGCATATTCCACTGTGTGCCATCTGGTCTCCTCACCCCTTAGCAAGTGTGCATCCCAACCCCAGTACAGTGGCATTATCGTGAGTTTCAGAAGAGATAAGCCATCCTCAAACTATAGTAATAGAGAATCAAACTTTTCTTCTTTTAATAGTAAATTAATGAATTGCTGTATTCCTAGAGACATTCAGTCTTATCTTTATTTTCATTATAGTCTTTAAAAAGTTTTAGGGATGGCACTGGTGTTGTAAGCTCAAGGTCTAGCACTTGCAAAGCAAACACTCTACCACTTGTGATACACATTCACACCTTTTGCTTTAGTTATTTCTCATCTATGAGGTTGTGCTGTTTCTGGGTCAGGTTTGGATTATGTATATAAGCATGCTTGACTTATTCTTTGAGAGAGGGTCTTGCTAATTTTTCCTGAGCTGGCGTGAAACTGAGATTCTATTATCTTCATCTCCCAAGAAGCTGGGGTTAACTCTCTCTCATCATAGTTTTAGAATAAGATGTGAACTATACCAGTACCAGCTTTATCTTCTTTGGAGTTGTCATCATTCAAAGATGTTACTATTTAACTAAGCTATCACAAATATAGTAACTATGGCATTATTTTTTGACTATGAAATTAATTTTATTTTATATTTCACCAGAGACCTTTAAGTTAATATTAAATCATGAAGGACTAACATAGTCAGTAACAACTTTTTCTATACAAGTCATATCTTCTGCTCCAGAAGTTTTTGTTGTTGCTGAATCAATATATATATTATCCATATATATATTAATTTTCTAGACATGTCTCAGTTTGGACTTTGTAGGTCAAGCTCTCACATCTTTTTAGTCCTTATTTGGAATTTGTTGTTATAAGCCATTTTCCTATTCTACTGAAGAGCTGCATACGGATTTAAACTAATTTTTGTGTCCGTATGTCATACTGAGACTTGAACTCGGAGCCTCCTGATTGCTAAGCAGATAGTTCTACCATTTAAGTCCTGCCCCCAGCCCATTTTGCTTTAATTTAGTTTTGGAAAGGTCTCACTTTTATCCAAGGCTGGCTTCAGACTTCCATCCTTCCAAATCAGCTTCCCAAGTAGCTGAGAGATAGTCACACGCTCGATCCAAATTTAAATACTTTTAAGTGAGCTGAAGTAAATTTATTCAAAGGGAAATTAGTGAAAATTTCACATAGAACATAGTCCAGTGGCTGGGTGAGTGATCATTAACGTAGTCCTTTTTTAAAGGAAACTTTTTATAATACTTCTAAAGTTAGATTGCACTTAGTTTGCCTGAACAAACTAAGTATTTGCCTGAACAAACTAAGTATAGTTAATTAAATTAGTGGTACAGTTAATTAAGTTAACGGTAGTTAATGAAATTAAACAGATAGCCACATAATGTACATATGAAAGAAATAAGTTTAACTAAAAATTAAGGACCCGTGTTGGATAATTTACAGTGCCAAGTATAGAAAAATTTCAGACAAATTCCTAATCTTTTAAGGCATGTCTGATTCTGCTCTCACCTTTGTAAAGAGAGAATACCAAAAATTAATATATGAAAGAAATTTATTTAAATTTAAACTGTCCTAGATGGTTTAAAACTTGAGTCTTATCCAAAGACATGAATTTCTTAAACAGTTTTATTAGAAAGAAAAAAATAACTTTATCGGTTTAGAAAGTATTTATTACATAAGAGAAAAAAATATGAGTTAATTACATTACTGACCTAATTTGTATGTAATTAAGTTGCTTTTGAAAATAATAGTAGTCATTTCAGAAAATGTTATTTAGAAAATGTAATTTTTAGAAAATGTAATTATTAGAAAATGTGATTTAGATATATCAGTAAGTTATACTGATATATGGGAGTAAAATGACATTAAAGAAGTATGAAGGAATAATAAATAAACCTAAGGTTGGAATTAAGATGGATTGGAGCAGAGAAAATACTATTATGTTGAATTTCCATGTAATTACTACAAAAGCTAGTAAGTGACTGAAAAATCCTGAAAAAAAGAAATGCATATGAATTATAGGAGGCAGATAACAAGTTGAACTGTTTTATTTAGGTCTCTGTTTCTTTCTATCAATAGCTCACAGCACTATAAATGACACTCATGTCCCTGTGGAAACAACTGAATGCATTCAAGGTCAAGGAGAAGGTTACAGGGGAACTGTCAGTACCATTTGGAATGGCATTCCTTGTCAGCGTTGGGACTCCCAGTATCCACATGAGCACGATGTAACTCCTGAAAATTTCAAGTGCAAGTGAGTACGTTTAGAGATATGCTATACAGTCTTCTGCCATACCACCCTGAACGTGCCCAATCTCGTCTGATCTCGGGAGATATGCTATACATTTCAGGGGGTTTGAGGGAGATGAGATTATGATCATTTATCCTGAACTCAGCATTCAATAATTCAATCAATGATTACCAAACATGTTTCAAACAAGTGCCTTCTCATATTTTTGTGTTACCTTGAGGAAGATATTTCCCCACTTTTTTACCTTGTTCCAGGTAACCTTTTGAATGGATGTCTTAAAGATCTGTGAACAAAATTATTTTTCACAGTTGTTTTTCAGTTTTTCAGTTGTTTGAGGACTGAAAAATGAGAAGTAAAGCAATTGTTGCAAGTGGCCCACAGTACCCACTGTACAGCTGTTTCTGGCCTACTCCTGGCAGCTTTTCACCACTCGCCTTTTCGTTGGACAGACACAGCCTCAGTGCCATGTGTTTTTAAATTGTCCACCTTGTTAGAAGGCACATGAAATGATTACATTTGGAATTTATAACACACATGTCATTCATAGTGGCTTTGCTGAAATAGCACCTATAAATAACATATATTGGTTTTATGTAATTGGCTTTTAATAAAAATAGCCTAAACATGGTGGAGTAGAGAGCTCTGTGCAGTATTGGCCTGTCCTATGCAAAAGAAGAGGTGGTGAGGGTGATTGGTGTGTTTTAGCTATTTCAGTGATTTGTTTGATCTGTGTGTTTTAGCTATTTCAGACATTTGATCTGTGTGTTTTAGCTATTTCAGTGATTTTGTTTGTTCCCATAATAAATAGTCACATGCTAAACAGTTTTTATGTTTTTATAATGACTAAACTTAGACTTATCATTCTGGTTTTGTTTCTCTCAGTTCCTTCAAGGAAATGTCTTTTTTATTCCTATCCCATGTGTTCACAGCTCAGAACCAAATGAATATCAAAGAGTAAGTAGGAGGAAAGAGTAGTTAAAAAGGGATTAAAGAAGACAGAATTGATAAACTTTTTAAAAATTATATGTAGTGGGGATCGATCCCCGAGCCTTGCATTTGTTAAACAGGTAGTCTACCACTTGATTCAGGTCCCCAGCTCTGTTGCTCCTATGTAATAATTAGTAATTCCCAACTTAGAAATTCTGTATGTAGAAATATACAGTTTATTCTATCAGAGAAAGGGATTTAATTTATCAGCTTTTCTATTGAAACATAATTATCACAAGTTTAACTATTACATGTTATTGGACTATAAGATGTTCTTTCTAGCTGAGCACCGGGGCCTCACACCTGTAATCCCAGCTACTCAGGAAGCTGAGATCTGAGGATCATGGTTCAAAGCCAACCTGGGCAAGAAAGTCTGTGAGACTCTTATCTCCAATAAACCACTCAGAAAACCAAAAGTGGTGCTGTGGCTCAAGTGGTAGAGCACTCCCCTTGAGCTGAAGAGCTGAGGGACAGTGTCCCAGAGTTCAAACCCCACGGCTGACAAAAAAGAAAAAGGTCTTTTTAAATTTCTTATTTTTTCCCAAAATGCCAAACATAATTGCCCCCAGTGTGGATTATTACAATATGTCAAGATTTTTTTCAGAATATAGATTTACTATGTATCATTGTTTCTTGTCAACAGAAAAAAGTTCTAATTAAATGATGTCTTTGGTTCTATTAAACATTGTTTGCCCCAACACTGAGACATTTTCAAATGATAACTACTGAAACCTTACAAGCAACAATACTTCCTATGTTGATTGTGTCCCTTTACTTTCTTCTTCCCTATTTTAGGCTAATAAAGCAGTCTCAAATTAAGACTTTCACCAGCTTTCCAAATCCATTTACTTATCTTGCCTTAGCTGGATAGTGTTAACACACATTTTAGACGAGAATACAAATTTCAAATAGAAGTAGATATTGGTTTAAAGGAAATAAAAGTTTCATTCATCTTTTTCAGTTTCTACATTTATAAGGATTCTAAAGGTTTAGATATGTTATATTATATGAACATTTCCTTTAAGTGGATTTAATTATTGTATCAGTTTGTGTTAATACTCGTTTTGACAAGAAAAATGCTACTTCTTGTTTTTAACTAAGTACCAAACCTTTCCTTAGAAACTTCTACATTTTATTTGATGTTAACCTTATATTGAGATAGAAAACCACTAAAACCCTCTTAGAGAATATCAACACAGACTTTTCTCCTACAAGTAGTGCATTTCTAATTAAAATACTGATAAAGAATGTACATATACTACATTAATAACTTGTTCTGAGGCTGGATGTCTTTACTAGAATTAAGCCTGAACTTTACAGAAATATGAATAATAATCTCTGATGAATTTTCAAATCTCAGAAAGATCTGCATTGTATTCAAAAGAAATCTATTCAGCAAATTAAATATAAAAAAGATAATATAGAATTAAGGAAGAAGCAGCTGGTATGCTTTGGGTAAGAAATATTTGAATAATACAAACTTCCATTTTGAATGAGAGTGGTTAAAGAGATAGTAACTTCTACTCTGCTGTGAGAGGTATAAGTAGTTAGTGAGATAATAGCTTTTGTCATGCTGTGAGAGGTACATGTCATTTCCCTCTTATACATGACTCATGAAAATGTAATAAATAGCAGACTATTTTTAAAAATTTTTATTTTCTTGCAAAGACACTGTACAGAGGGGTTACATTTACATGAGTAAGGTACACTTCTCACTGAACATTGTTACCCACTCCATTGTTGTTCTCTCATTATTGCTTCCTTCCCCCATTTTCCACTCCCTATGAAGATGTAAAGTTCATTTCCAGCATAGTGTCCTGTGAGTGTCATGGCTGCAACAGGTCATCTTTTGTACTTCTCTCAGCATTTTGTTATTTCCTCTCCCTTCCCCCAATCAGATAAATGCATATACAAGATAGAGGATGAACAACAGAGATTGCCATGGATAAACCAATGAAAAAAGAAAAATGAAATATAATAAGAAGAAAGAACTAGATATAGTACATGGAGATAGCAAGGTTGACAACTGAAAAAAAAATGACATGTTGTGTCCAGGTCTTGAAGTTCATTTCAATTGGCATTATTTTGTATGGTCATATGTTCATCACTCTTGATCTATTATGCTTCTCTGTCAGGACTACCTAGGCATATACTAATTATTACAAATGAGGGAAACTATAGAGCCTGTATTTCCTTGGGTCTGGCTTACTTCACTAAATATGATTTTTTCCAAGTCTTTCCATTTCCTTACAAAAGGGCAGTGTCATTCTTTCTGATGGAAGCATAGAATTCCATTGTGTAAATATACCACATTTTCTTGATCCATACATCTACACTGGGGCATCTGGGTTGGTTCCATGTCTTAGCTATGGTAAATAGTGCTGCAATGAACATAGTTGTGCTGGTAGCTTTAGTATGGCCTTGTTTGTGATCATTTGGGTAAATGCCCAGGAGTGGGATTGTTGGATCATAAGGAAGTTCTATGTTTAGTCTTTTGAAGAACCTCTATACTCCCTTCTGGAGTGGTTGAACCAGTTTACATTCTCACCAACAGTGCAATAGTGTTTCTTTTTGGCCACATACCCACCAGCATCTGTTATTATTATTATTTCTTTTTCCAGGGCTGAGGACAGAACCCAGGGCCTTGCACGCGCCGGGTGGGCGCCCTTCCGCTGGGCTAAACCCCCAGCCCCTATTATTTGTTTCCTTGATAATGGTCATAATAACTGGGGTTAGGTGGAATTTCAATGTGGTTATGGTTTGCATTTCGTTTATGGCCAGTGACACTGAGCATTTCTTAATGTGTCTGTTGACCATTCTTATTTCCCTTACAGAGAAGTCTCTTTAATTCTTTAGCCCACTTATTAATGGGGAGGTTGTTTATCTGGGGATTTGTTATTGGATGGGGTTAATTTTTGAGTTCTAGGTATATTTTTGTGTTGTTGATATAAAACCCTTGTCTAGTGAAGATCTCCCAAATCTGTGGGTTATTTATCTTGCTGTGTCCTTTTCCATGCAGAAGCTCTGCAGTTTAATGAAATCCCATTTATCCATACTTTCTTTGATTTGTTGTGTTTCTAAATCTTTATTTAGGAAGTGTTGAGCTGTGCTGAGGAGCCCTTACTGTAATATTTTCAGGGTCTCATCCTTTACCTTGAGGTCTTTGATCCATTTGGAATTGATTTTAGTGCAGGGTGATATATAAGGATCTAATTTTTCTCCATGTGTGTAGTTAATTGTGCCAGCACCATTTGTTGAAGAGACTATCTTTCTTCCATCTTATAATTTTGGCTGCCTTATCGAAGATTAGGTGCAGGCCACTGTTTCAAAATGGCAGCAGTTGGGAGTCCTATCGTTGAGAATGAGTGAAAAAAATGTAATGGTATACATGCACACACTCCAGGATTCTACAAGTGTCCTAGCACTGACTTCATCAGTGAGGTATCTTCGGTCATTCACATTAACCTGTTTATTTCTAACAGGGACCTAAGAGAAAATTATTGCAGAAATCCAGATGGCGCTGAGTCACCCTGGTGTTTTACAACTGACCCAAACATCCGAGTTGGCTACTGCTCCCAAATTCCAAAATGTGACGTGTCCAGTGGACAAGGTAATAGTTGACATTTTGCATTGTATGGAGATGACTAAATTCAGGAGAAATGCCTACTGGAAGGATCTTCTTCCTCCTCCCCCCCCCCCTCCCCCTTCTCCTCTCCCTCCTCCTCCTCCTTCCCCCCGCCCCCCTCCTCCTCCTCTTCCTGTCATGGGGCCTGAACTCTGGGTCTGGGCACTGTCCCTCAGCTCTTCAGCTCAAGGTTAGCACTCTACCATTGAGCCACAGCGCCACTTCCACCTTTTTTTGGCTTATGTGGTGCTGAGGAATCGAACATAGGACCTCACGCACTTTACTACCGAGTCACCTTTCCAGCCCTTCTTCTTTTTTTTAACCAGCAAAAGCTCTACTTCTTATTATGCTCTTCTAGCTAGTTAGCGAGTAAGATCTTTGTTTGATTAGATTTCAAAAAATGTTTATTCACTCAATACTTATATATTTATATTTTTCTTACTTATCTGAGTGTCAGGAACAATTCTTGGATGTATACCAGTAGTGACAAGTAAATCTTCTGACACCAGAAAACTACTTTTCAGCAGACAGTGAACTTTCAAAATAAAAATGGCCGTGGGTGATTATCTAAATTTTTGCTAAATGCTAGAAGGAAAACTAGTCCTGAGGTAGAGATGGTAGATGTTACTATTGTCTATTTTATAATCAAGAAAGAAGGTACCATTAAGGAGAAATGGAGTAGCACTTGCCATGGGCAGATTATGTAAAGAACATCTTAGACAGGAAACCACAGATGCTAATGAGCTGTGATGAGAGAATGCTTGAACATTGTCATTCTGAAAAGCTAGCTCTAACTTCAAAGTTCCATTTCATAGATTTCTTCCACTTAACACTTGCTCTAGGGCCAGTTGGTAAAATCTACTATGAAAACACAGTTGTAAAGAGAAGAGGGATGAATCCCTTTTCAGTCAATTTCACTCTTCTTGACAGCTTATAAAGGTCATTCGGAAATAAAGTTGAAACCCATAATTAAGGGACATTTGTTGCCAGCTGACTCTGTTGCACCCTTGTCTCATTCATTTGAACAATTGCTTGTATTTGTGGGAGGTAGGAAGAAATGAACATTTATAATAAGGAAAGCCTTGACAAATTACTGCAATTTGAGACAATTAACTCTATCAGATATTACTATATTGCATAAAGAGTTTTTGATTAAGAGCATAGTTCTGGCATATGAAGAAATAGAACAGGACACAACCACTGGAGATAAACCCGACGGCATACATATATTGTTTAAAGAGTAGTAGTAACACATACTACTGGATGAAATATTATTTTTAAGAAATATATGATGAATGGGTAAAGTCACTGTCAAAAAATAAAAATTATAAAAGCAAATCCATTCCTCATACTGTACTCAAAAATAAACTCTAAATGAATAAAATAACAGAATGAGAAAATGGAAACCTGATAGATTTTGGTGCATTAATGCTAGCACCTGAATATACAGTGACAACAGGATGCTAAAGCACACATAGAGAACATTTTATTATAGTATAATCTGTAACAGGGAAAAAAGACATGTATGCTGGAACAGCCATACTATGGAGAACTTAAAACTTGGAAAAAATGAGTAAAAAATGATAAAACTCCTCATGAAGTGTAATAGGGTGATTTTCAGGAATACAGGTTTTTTTTAAAGAATGAAGGTGCAAACATGTATGCATTTTATAGTACTAGAAATATATAATGGAATTACTCTTAGTATGAATATGGAATATTTCCATCAAAATATAAATTTCTATCACCATAAGAAATTTGTACATTTATATTAAATGTACATATACCTATGTATGGGTGTGTATATATATTAGTTGAACTTTGACAAAAGCATAAACAGGTGGAGGTATGGCTCAAGCCTACCTTGAATTGGGCTTAAACAATGAAGCGCTGAGTTCAAGCCCTGAACTACCAAACACTGTAAAGAAAAGAATCTCACCAGACCTATGAACCAAATCAAATGAAATTACTTACTAGTCATAATGTCTAGGAAGGAGAAAAGGAGTTACTTAAGACACACAACTGAAAAAATGACAATACAAAAGAAGATAGTATTGTCAGAGGAAAATGTTTTAATTGGTATTTTTCTCAAATATGCAAGCATTGGACTTTATAAGTTTATGTTTTCTGAAAATAATTTGCCAATTCTACCATGTATTTTTATATTTTTGCAAAACTTCCTTACACATTCCTTATAGTGCCATTAGAAATGTGATCAATGAAGACAATCCCACAATTGAGTATTCTTTTTAATGCTTCTTTTTAACTATATTATCTGATTACCGGACAAGCAAATTATTAATTCAATATTTTTATTAAGAGTTGTAACCTATTATTTGCCATAATCACAAAAGCTAATATAAAATTAGTGACGTTATATTTCAATGAATTTCATTGTAGAGTAAAGATAAATTTATGTACATTTGTCAGTATCAATTGAAAGTAAAACTCATATGGTTTATTCACATAAAAATCAGTAGTGTTGAGGTGGGAAGTTGGATCAGTGGTAGAGTGCTTGCCTTGCATGCATGAGGGCCTGGGTTCGATTCCTCAGCACCACATAAGCAGAAAAAGCCAGAAGTTACACTATGGCTCAAGTGGTAAAGCGCTAGCCTTGAGCTGAAGAGCTGAGGGACAGTGCCCAGGCCCAGAGTTCAGGCCGCACAACCGACAAAAAAATAAATAAATAAATAAATAAATTAGTAGTGTTCAATAGTCAGTTTTAAATGGTAATGTTTAAAATTATGAAAATATTTACATTTTATACAATTTATGCTTTCAGAATTATGATATTTGGTTCCATATCTCCTTATTGAGAATAGTGTCACCTCTATCAATGTTCAGTAGTACACAATTTGCTCAGTTAAAAAGGGCTAACAAAATCTCATGGTACATGACAAGACACACAGCAGTCAGTCTGAAGTAGCCAAATGAACATTGTGAGCATCAGAACAAGTAACAGAGACATATTCTTTAAGTACAAAGAGTTTTCCTTTCCTATTATTTAAGCAAGGGATCAAATGCCTCAGCCATGACATCAGGTGTCACTGCCAGGGGCTGAAAAGGACAAAACAGGACCGGGAACATAATCCTGTCAAGGACCTTTACTCAATTTCATCCTTAAGTAAACAGACAAACTGAACTTGAAGAACATTTGTAGAACAGCAGTTTGGGTTGACTTAGGATGTTAACATCACCCATTGCAAAAAATGAGATGTACAAATCGTTACGTCGAAAAACGAAGTTTACAGCTTTGGCGGGGAAGAGCAGAGATTGGAGAGATTGGGGGGTGGGGGAGGGGGGGAATGGGAAGGGATGGGAAGGGGAAACAAAGGAGTAGGCAACAATGCTTGATAAGAAATGTACTCATTATCTTGCCCATGTAAATGTAACTCCTCTGTATGGTATTTTCACAATTAAAAAAAATTAAAATAAAAAATGGAAAAAAAAAAGATAAAAGTACCCAGGCCCCAGAGGCTCATGCCAGTAATCCTAGCTACTCAGGAGGCTGAGACTTGAGGATCACAGTTCAAAGACACCCTGGGCAGGAAAGTCCATGAAACTCTTATCTCCAATAAACCACTCTGAAAGCAGGAAGTGGTACTGTGACTCAAGTGGTGGAATGCTAGCCTTGAGCTGAACAGCTGAGGGACAGTGCCCAGACCCAGAATTCAAGCCAAATGACTGACAAACAAACAAACAAAAGAAGATAAAACTAATGTGACTAATACATTAGTTGCACTGCAGTCATTTTGTAACTTTATTGTGCAATGAAAATTTTCAGAAGAAAATGTTGAAATGCTAAGCAATATATCCATTATACAAGAAATCCTCATTTCTTTGATGCAGTTAAGGGTCATTCATTGAAATTTTTGTTAGATATTATTTGTAAGATTTCAATTTGCATGACCATTGTAATGAAATGGAAATTTGGAGGAAATTAAGATAATTTAATCTGAAATATGTAAGACACTTTATACATTTCTGGTGGTTTATGTTTTCCTGTCTGTAAGAAGTGGTGTTTTATTTTCTACAATATTTAGTCAACGTATTTGTGGTTTTTATACTTAGATTGTTACCGTGGAAATGGAAAAAATTACATGGGAAATTTATCCAAAACAAGATCTGGACTAACCTGTTCAATGTGGGATAAGAACATGGAAGACTTACACCGGTGTGTACATTTCTTTCTCATAATCAAATGTAAAGATAACAGCATTAACATAGATCCAGACACATTCATTCATGGGTAATTCCTTTCCATTATCACTATAGGATGGTAAACACAAAAATGATTATTCTGCATAACTCAGAACATAGAGTCTGCATGTATCAATTTTAAATACATAATATAATACATTAACATTATATATCATATTTGTAATCATATATTAATATAACTATATAGTATATCTTATACGAAATTATATGTTATATACTATATATAATTATATATTAATATAATAATATGTAATATAAATATATAATTCAATGGAACACATGTGTGTCAAAATGCTACTTGTGCTCTGAACCTGGAGAATGTAAACACAAGATGGGTGGAAATGTATTTGTTACCAAAGAAAATATGGTCACAATGAAAAATAAAACCCACTGTGTGACTTAATAAAACAGTGAATAATTTAGTGGGACATGTAGTGTTTTAAACACTATGTTAAGAGATTATCAAGTGATCATAATTAATAGTAATCCTGAGAGAAAGATCAACAAATAGTCACTTTCCTATACATACCTTAAACATCTACTGAACTATTAAAACTTGTAAACGAGTGTTCTTGAATAACTAACAAAAACAGGTAAAAGTGAGTTCAATTATCTAGCTACAATCATCCATCTTATTTTCATCAAAATTTAATAAACTCAGGTGATTGTGTTTTGGTAAACATAAGATGGATGATTTATAATTATTACATTAATGTATATAATTGAAGAAAAAGCTTGATATATTACAGAATTTTATTAAAATATTAAATTTCAGAGAATTTTTATATTATATTGGAAATATATTCACAAAGAAGGTAACATCTATATGGTCATAGAAATAGTGCTAGTGTATAAAAAGTTTTTGAAATATGACATATAATTGTGATTACAAATAGATTTTTAATAAACTCAGAATTTATATGCTAGAATAAAAGAAAAATACATTATAGGTATCATTGGGTCCCTGCAATATAATTGTTTTACATGTTATGGCATTTGACCACCAGCCACTAAATGGAAGCTATTTCCATATGTGAATAAGGATTTATGGGCTCAGAGAAGCTGAATCACTTTGCTTTAGTTTTATTTTTATTTTAAAGGTTTGATATGCTTCCAAGTTGCGTTTAATAGTGGATGAGTCAGTTAAGTAATTTATGTCACAAATGAATATTAATTGTTCTAAAGTTCTATTCTCCCCTTAGAAAGCAACTCACACTGCTGTCCGTGATTTCACCTGGGAGGCTTGAAAGTGTGGAGATGATAGGGTTTATACCACAGAAACAAGCAACACCTACAAATAGAAACTCCCCTGCTCGGTTGTTAAACAGATACTAAACATGAACAAGACTGAACATTTGACAGGATGCCACCAGAATATTTGATATATTTATTCGGGAATTCTCAGTGGTTAATAACCATTCTTAATTAACTGACTTTAGGCTAAATTTTTGCAAATAATTAAAAATTCATTTGGAGAAAGTTTATAGGGAATTGATGGGTGATTAAGTTGCTTAGCATCTTGTCTGATTAAGAACATTTTATGCAAGAAGGAAGGAGAGCATTATGATTTAAAACACTGACTCTGGAAACTATACGTTCCAAACCCATTTTTTCATGAGTGTGTGCGTATAAATGTGTGTGCTGGATCTGGGGATAGAATTCAAAGTTTTGTGCTCTCCCTTGGCTTGCTTGCTTACTGCTGATGTCCTACCACTTGATTCATGTCTCTAATCTGGCATTTGCTGATTAATTGGAGATAGAGTCTTAAACACTTTTCTGCCTGAGCTGGTTTTGAACAGAGATCCTTAGGTCTTAGCTGCTTGGCTTGCTAGGATTATAGGCATGAGCCACCAGTGCCATGTGACCTTAGAATACTTAATTGTCCTGTTGATTTCTTCAAATGTAATAAATACAGAATATTCTTAAAGCCTGTCTGACAAGATTGACCTAAATTTTTGTTATCGGTAAAGACTTAGCAGGATCTATCATGTAATAAGCCTGCTGCTGTTTCTGCTTCAGAAAATAAAGCTGGGTCAGGAAAGAAAATCCATGTTTTCATATCCAAGCCCTTTCTAATTAAAGTCATAGGTCCATAGTCAAGAATGGAAGTAACTAGTAGGGCAAAATGAATGCCATTATAGTTTTTACAACAGTTGTGGGCACATAGAATTTGACTTTATTAATGTTATTGAAGCAAGAGAAAATATTGGTCTTACAAAAATAACCATGGTCTTATAATAAAAATACAGACTTTTTGCTTTTCTTTTGAAATGAATTTTTATTTACACATTAGAAAAAATTTAAATATTATTCGATTATCTGCAAAAAAACATGTAGTAACCTTATGACCCATGATATTTCTAAAACTTAGTTATTTTATTGTCATTTTACTATTAATTTGTAGTGTGCTTGCTTTCTTCTTCTTTGTGAAAGAGTATGATGGTGGTGTTTACATGTGTCTGAAACAGAGAAAAATACTTTAAAATATTGCTATGTTACTACTGCAATGCTTAAGTAGAAGCAGAGTTTCGGATCATTTTATGTAGTCTTTCATATTCACAAATTAGAAAGTGCTTCCATACTGAAAACTAGCAAAAAAGAAACTGCTTTCAAAATAATCAAACTGTGTGATATTTACAATGAATGTGTTATCATAGGGTTCTATCTTTTGTCATATTTTGCATCTCCTGGATGTAGTAAATACTTTCTGATGTTCAGCTTGTGGTTTCTGCAGTCATATCTTCTGGGAGCCAGATGCTAGTAAGCTGAACAAGAATTACTGCCGGAACCCTGATGATGATGCTCACGGGCCCTGGTGTTACACAGGGAATCCTCTCATTCCGTGGGATTACTGTCCCATTTCCCGTTGTAAGTATGTTTAGTGTTCTGTTTAGCTGAAATACTTAACATGTACTGTGTCTTTACTAAAACAATTTCTTAGTCACAGATATAAATAATCTAAGATTACAGAGTTAATTCCAAAATGGGAGTATCCTCTAGAGAGTAACTCAGACATATACCATATGCAGGCTCTTTCAGTCTCTGTGTGTGTGTCTCTTTCTCTCTCTCAGAGAATTATGTTCACATTTTAACATTGTTTATTCTGAAAAGATTGGAATCCAGAAGCAGCAGATAGTCATGATTCTAAGAACACACCAGAGAAAATGCCCCAGCCAGACCCTGAATCTTCAGTACTCTGTGTCTGAACATAATAGCATTTGTCTATCCTAATACCCTTCATCCACCCCCCCCTCCCGCCAGTACACCAAACAATCCAGATAGATAGATAGATAGATAGATAGATAGATAATAGATAATAGAATACATGTCTGATATATATCTTTGAAAATGCATTTCATATATGTTAATCTAAAATACATGTCCTATATCTCTGTAAAGATAAAAACAAAAGATGTGAAAAAGGTAGGGGCAACATGAAGAAAGGAATCTGCAAGAAAAGAGTTAAGAAAATGAAACCACACTGAAATTAGTGAGAACAAAATGAAATTGACAAAGCCTGAGAAATCATTTCTATTAGTCAAGGTGGCAAATGACACAAATGGTTAAGACTCCTATCACTGAGAACTTAGACAATCTGTCCATCACAAAACCATGCTAATTTGAGTAAATGAAAAATCCTAAGTGGAAGTCAATTTGTAAAAATGTATCAAAAGGAATAGTTATATGAAAGTGGAGCAGCTTATGCATTATTAACATTTGGGTTGGATGATTCTTTGTTGTAGCAGGGTGTTCTTGTGTGACGTGTTTGCATTTCAATTTTCAAAGCCAATGCTACTATTACTAGTTGTTACTGCTAGTTATAGCAGATGGAACTTTGCATTTTTGTGTAAACATTTCATGAAACACAAAAATATTTTCACTTATGGTGAGAAACTGTCTCTTGATTTGATACAAATTTTACAAAATACACGTCAGTATATGCTACTATTTCTTTCATCAGATCTTTCTTCTTAACATGGGCATTTGTGCTGCCTTCGGTTAGATTCTTGTTACTGACTTGTCACACAAGAGGTTCTTATGGAAATTTTAGATGCATAGCTATTTGAACCAGGGAGTTTAACACTATGGCTAGGCATGTTTGCTGCAAATACAGAGATATGGATACATAATATAGTAAAATGTTTTCTTACTACGGACAACTTTATGAAAAGGTCTTTTATATAATAACACATAGAGGATATATTTGCATTTCAATAATTTTAATGCACATCACTGGATCTTAATGTATGATGATATTGCCATCTTCTCACTAGTATATGTATGTTTGTGTGTGTATGTATGTAAATATGTATGTGTTGGTCTGTGTGTATATGTGTGTGTGCACGTATGTGCCTCGGTTCTATTATATATATATATGTACTATATTTAACAAGTAATACTTAAGACATGGACCTGATCAACTATTATAAATGGATTCAGAACTTGTTTATAACAATAATTCAATGTTTTATATGTTTGCAAAGAAATCAGCTATTATAATAAGTTTTATTGTTGTTGTTGATGATGGTTGTTGGGCTTGAACTCTGGGTCTGAGCGCTGTCCCTCAGCTCTTCAGCTCAAAGCTAGCACTCTACCACTTGATCCACAGTGCCACTTCTGGTTTTCTGGAGGTTTATTGGAGATAAGAATCTCATGGGGGGCTGGGAAGGTGGCTCAGTGGTAGAGCACTTGCCTTGCATGCTCAAGGCCCTGGGTTCGATTCCTCAGCACCACATAAGCAAAAAGAAAAAAGCTGGAAGTGGTGCTGTGGCTCAAGTGGTAGAGCGCTAGCCTTGAGCTGAAGAGGTGAGGGACAGCGCCCAGGCCCAGAGTTCAGGCCCCACGACCGGACCTTCCCCCCCCCCCCAAAAAAAAAAAAGAATCTCATGGCCTTTCCTGCCCGGGCTGCCTTTGAACTGTGATCCTCAGATCTCAGCCTCCTGAGTAGCTAGGATTACAGGCATGAGCTACTAGTTTCTGACTATTATAATAGTTTTATAAAATTTAATTCGTATTTTTCTAATGTCCTTCATTTTTTTTTTTTCTGTTGGTTGTTGGGCTTGAACTTTGGGCTTGGGCGCTGTCCCTGTGCTCTTCAGCTCAAGGTGACCACTCTACCACTTGGGCCACAGCACCACTTCCAGTTTTCTACTGGTTTATTGGAGATAAGAGTCTCACGGACTTTCTCGCACGGGCTGGCTTTGATCCGTTATCCTCAACTTTCAGCCTCCTGAATAGCTAGGATTACAGGCATGAGCCACCGGCACCTGGCCTTCAATTTCTTTTTATATTAGAGTTTACAGAAATCTTGAAAATATTCTCCAAGGGAAATTGTATTCTGTTTTTTTTTTTTTTAACACTAAAACAAACAAGCAAGCAAATAATGACGACCAACATATTTCTCGAGAGAATATCATGCAAAAACATTTTTAAATGATTAAAAATTAACTTTTTGTTTTGTTAGACCCAGACTCAGGTCTTCAGCATGTTAAATGGTAACTCTACTACTGCAGTACCTCTAGCTCTGTTATTTTTTTTAACATTATTTTGCCTCACTGTAACTTTTTGTGAAGTCTTCATAATTAAGAATATACAGCAAATTAGGAAAAGAGGAAAAATGCCCTATCATTTAAAACAGGTTATATTGCTTTCTCTTCTTTATATCACAGTTCAGCAGCTCAAACTAGTACGTGTGTGTGTGTGTGTGTGTGTGTGTGTGTGTGTGTGTGTAGCTCAGAGTAAAATGTTCCTATCTGATTTCAGAGCCTAGTGATCTGGTTTATAAACTTCACTAGGAGAGTAACCACTTGAACAATTTTAAATAATTCAATTTTTTTCCAATTAAAAGTCACTAATGTGATTTTGAAAGTTATGGTATCACTCATGTTTCATTCAATGCTATTGCAGATAATTCTTTTCCTTTAAATTTTTGTCTGAACTAAACATTAATTTTAATAAATTTTACATTTTCATTTTTCCAGCTTATAATTCTAGCCAGGATTTATTTATACTCTCATTTTAGTGAAAGGTTAATAAAATTTGTCTTTAAAGATTTGAGTTGATGGGCTGGGAAGGTAGCTCAGTGGTAGAGCACTTGCCTTGCATGCATGAGGCCCTGGGTTCGATTCCTCAGCACCACATAAGCAAAAAGAAAAAACCAGAAGTGGTGCTGTGGCTCAAGTGGTAGAGCGCTAGCCTTGAGCTGAAGAGCTGAGGGACAGCGCCCAGGTCCAGAGTTCAGGCCCCATGACCAGACACCCCCCCAAAAAAGATTTGAGTTGATATTTAAAAAGAATTTTTTTTTTAAATTTTGAGTCCAGTCCTGGAGCCTGAACTCTGGGCCTGAGCGCTGTCCCTCAGCTCTTCAGCTCAAGGTAGTGCTCTACCACTTGAGACACAGCACCACTTCTGGTTTTTTTCTTTTTGCTTATGTGGTGCTGAGGAATCGAACCCAGGGCCTAAGGCATGCAAGGCAAGCGCTCTACCACTGAGCCACCTTCCCAGCCCTTGAGTTGATAACTTTTTAACATCAGAGAGTGCACTAATCATTTCCACACTACATTTCTCTACAACATATGTAAAGATTTTATTTATTTTTCCCAAAATGCTTATAAAATATCATTCATATATTTTTTTAATTTATAAAATATGTAAAAAATGTAGAAATGCCTAAAAGTGTGCCTGGCCACATATCCTTAGTACCACTGAGAGTATTCAGATTAAAAATTTCCATCATGTTTCCTAGATTGGATAACAGTCCATGATTATGTCTTGGCCAAGGTACTTACCTACTTATGACTCACATTCTGTTTTTGTAAAGCTGTATCTGTATACAGTTTTATTTACATGCATGTGTACATACTTCTGTATGTACACAAAAATGGAACAATGAAGCTTGTTAAGATTAGTTTGTGAAGAGGGAGGGGATGAAGGAGAGGGAAGGATGGGTGAGTCTGATAAAGGTGTATTGTACCCATATATGTGCATGTCAAAGTGAAACCCCTTGTACAAATAACTGATGATAATAATAAAGTGTAACAAATCTTATTGGTCCACCATGAAAAAAAATCAGTTGCCTAATAAGCACTTGAAAACTGAGGTTCTATTTCTGGATTTACATTTTTATTTCCATTATTGTTTAATTGAGTTACTGGTATGCACAAAAGCCCACATAATTGACTAGGTACAGAAAAATAGATATGTTGTTTTTTAATCTCAAATGCTTTAGCGTAGGGAGAGTTGCCACTTCATGGAAAATTTGTGAATGCCATATATTTCTCTAGGTAATATCTCATTTCCATTCTTGTTTTATATATTAGTATTAAAGTAAATTTACTACATAATCATATTGTCATAGAGTTGTTTACATAACTGTACCTGTATGATGTACAACATCTGAGATTGAAAAGCAAGATGAGCTAAAGTAGAAGGAAGATGAAAAATTTATGATTTCTTTCCTTTACTTGCATTCATTTAGTTAACTAGATCTGGAAAATGAATTTAGCATCTACCATGCAGTAATTCTCTTCAGTATCTCCACAAAAAATGGTCAGGTTTTCAATATTCCAAAATATTCCCTGTTCTCTTATTGTTTTGTTACTTGCTTCTCTGAGCTCAGACATTATCAAGGATTAATAACCAGCTGTATGTAAGTAGTGCTTGCCTTCAGTTCTGCACAGTTAAGACATTAAGCTTCAGGAAATGCCTCATGTCCCACTCATTACTGTAAAATATTTCCAAAACCCAAGTATCTTTCAAGCCATTCTTCTTGTAGCCAGTAAACTCCATTAGAGAACCCTGCAAAAGAAGTAGATTATGTAGAATTAAGGTGCAGTTTCCCAAGTCCAAGTAGAATCAATGGGTAATTTCCAGTGTTTCTTTTCTTTTTTTTTTTTAACATACTTACTTTTGACTAATAGCACACACACACACATACACACACAAATCTAGATTATTCTGGCAACAACAGCAGATGTTTCTTTTCTAGAAATTAAATAACATATATTTATATTTTTCAGTTTTCCAAAGTATTGCAGTTTCAGTTATGTTCAATCAAATACAAATGAAAATCGTTTTTTAGAAAAAAAAAAAGAATGTTTCAATGAACAAAACTGCCTTATGAAACCTCCGTGCAAACAACAATAAACGTAAATCCTTTTCACTGGGCTGGCCATTGAGTCTAAAATGGTCCATTTTAGAAGACTGAAATAGGTTGTTGCTGCTGGCAGTAAACGCAGTGTGCTCAGGATCACCAGACCATACTCACTTGGAACCTCACACCATCATAAAAATTTTAAAAAACTCCTTATCTGAGACCAATAGGCATGCATTCATAATGTAATACAGCAAAAATGACAACGAAAATAGAATAAAAATATTCAAACAGATATTACTACAGTTTATCTTTAATGATAATCATTTTAGTAAAGTGTCCAGTTCATAGTTATATTATAATAGATTGATTTTATAAAGAAGAATATGTTTATATATATACATATATATATATATATATGAGCTATATACTTACCTACAAATTCATTTTTACAGGTGAAGGTGATACCACACCTACAATAGTCAATTTAGACCGTAAGTAGAATATAAAACAACTTGAGACTCTGTGTCACAAATAATGCCATATTATTTGATAGGAAAATATTACCATAATAACTTCTGACATAAAATGAATCAATCTGATTTTATATTTAAAGTATGTCTTTCCTTATGTGTAGTTGTAAAATAGTCAGTATATTCTGATTATGGAAATACAACTGTCAGGAAATTTACAAGATATCCCAGATGACTTTGAAAACAGCACTTACTTACTTTTAGTTTGGGGCACAATGTATAGAATGGGAAAACTTTATATACAACATCCTCCAAGTAAAATCAGGCTGCTAAAGACAGAATGAAACCAGGGATTGAAATTGTTTTATCTTTAAACCATTTTTTGTTTTTGCCCGTTTTGTATTTTACTAAGCCAAAGATGACGACCTAAGAAGTTCAGTTAATTCTCAGTGTCAGAATCTGTTGGAAGCTCTTGTTTTGATTTCCACATATTATTTGGGCTGAAAGAAGTTACTGAAATGTTTTGCTATTCTAAAACCACCTGCTGTGCCTCAGGCTGAGGAAGCAAATGAAAATCTAGTCTAGACCATGGACAGAGTACAAAGGATAAGGCAAGGAACAGAGGAAGGTCAGGAAAAATGTTTCCTCCAAAGAATTCTGGGTTATGTCATTTGGGCATAATGATTTGGATATAATAATGTCATTTGAATATTATTTCAATAAATATAATACCAGGAGTACATTTCACAATTGCTCTGGGTTTTTTTGTTTTTTTTGTTTTTTGTTTTGGGTTTTTTTTTTGGTCAGTCATGGGGCCTGAACTCTGGGCCTGGGCGCTGTCCCTCAGCTCTTCAGCTCAAGGCTAGCACTCTACCACTTAAGCCACAGCACCACTTCTGGCTTTTTCTGCTTATGTGGTGCTGAGGAATGAAACCCAGGCCCTTATGCATACAAGGCACGCACTCTACCACTGAGCTACCTTCCCAGTCCCTTGCTCTATGTTCCTAGCCTACAAATAAACAAGTAAAATTTTATTTCATTTTTTGACTCAGGCTACTGATTGTTATTGAGAAACAGCCACTATTTCATTTTGTACTGAGACTAGTGAGGGAAATATATTAGTGTCAGACTTGAAGAATTTGCTAGTCTAGTGCATGGTGAGGAAAGTTACTGTATGCCTTATGCAAGCAAGCCTGTTTGCTTTGAGTTGGTTAGTTTTCTGGGTCACTCATTAATAAAGATGAGAGTGGCAAGTGTTAGAAGTATATAATACTCTTGTTCTAACACGTTCTTCTGATACAAATGCAGTGATTTCATTTATCTAGTTATCATTATACTTAAAAAAACTAAGATGTACTGATTGTTTCAAAAGGCAATGCCAAAATATTACTTGATCCTGTTTACAGATCCTGTAATATCCTGTGCCAAAACAAAACAGTTGAGAGTTGTAAATGGGATTCCAACACAGACGAATGTGGGATGGATGGTTAGTTTGAAATACAGGTAATTATTAATAAACATATTTTAAAATTATTTGATAAGTCACACAACCAACATGTGATCACATGGTCATGACAATTATGCTAAACACCCAGATGAGAAACTATAAAGGGATCAATCACACTCTTGCCAAACAGTAAAGCCAGACCTAACCTTTTGTAGTTTAAAAAGGTCCTGTGTATGTTTCCATTGTCCCAGATTTCAAGTCCAATTTTGGCTCTGATTAAATCAAACAAAATTACCCAGAAGATTTTCTTATGATTTAATATCAACATGTAGTTCTAATGCTATTAATGTTCCAATGCAGAATATTATGATTTGATATTTTTCTATATCCATGCATATTAATGTAAGACATTTTATTTTTGCTTTTTGTCATTCATATATCATTTTAAAATTACAGAGTATATTTATATGAAAAGATTACAAATATTTTAATCAATAGTATTATTAGTGTGGATAAGGAGAGTAAATACATAAATAAAATGCAAATCAAGAGCCTTCAACAGTACTTTTAAGAGTGAGTGAAATATAGGACTGGGAATATAGCGCTAAGTAGTAAGATTGCCTACTTAGCATGTGCAAGGCTCTAGTTGCTTTTCAGCACCAAAAACATAAAAGAGAAATACATACTACATACATGTACATACATATATATATACTATGTATATAATATAGTATATAGTATCTACATTATATATATACAATGTATATAATATAGTATATAGTATCTACATTATATTATTTATAAAATAATATATGGTACACATTTTATATATTTATTATATTTTTGTTATATAATGACATTCTACATAGATGCCACAAATTTTTAGAATAAATTGAAAGCTTAGTAATTATTCTATAAGAATTAAAATTTTGAAAGCTGAGCACTGGTGGCTCACACCTGTAACTCTAGCTACCCCAAAGGCAAATATTTGAATTTCACAGTTTGAACAAATCTGGGAGAGTTACAAACAGTTGATTAGCAAAAGGCTGGATGTGGAGACATGGCTCAAAAAGCAGAGTACCAGCTTTCAGCACCAAGCCAAACAGAAGGACCATGTCTGAGTTCAAGACCTAGGATTGGCATCCCCCTCAAAAAAAATTAAATATTCAGCATGAGTTGAAATAAAATCATTATACAATTTCCTGGTCTTTTTCTATCTCTGTCTGCCTCTCTCTCTTTCTCTTTCTCTCATCTTTTTATCGCTATTCTTCTCTATCAGAACTTCATCATGTACAAAAAGCAAAATACACATGATTTGTAGCTACAGTTTTCCTTGTATTCTAGACAAACCTCCAGGCTTGTGCATGTTTAGTCCTACCATACAGAGTAACTTGCTTGAACATTGCTTCTCATTCTTCTAATCTTAAATTAAATATCTCCTCTTTAAGTGATTTATCCTGTTTCTTTACCTCAAGGAGAAAGTTTAACTCATATTACCTTAATTCATAGTGACATTTAAATAGAATGGGTAACTTGCAGCTAAATATGCCAGTTCTTGCCAAGTGTAGACTTTATATCCTATGACTCATGTCACAATAATATTATAGAAAATGGGCTAAAATTCCCTTTTATTAGAGCCTTCTCTCAAGATGTCAACTAATGGTTTGTTGTATTTACATCAATTATATATTTAATAAGCATGGTAAAACATTAAAACAAAAAGAAACAACTCATTAAATTTAATATTTAAGCCAACAATTGCAGTGTAGCTGTCCTAAGTTTGAGGTACTGAAAGCAAATTATGAAGCAAACTTGAATATAAGGTGATTTGACAATACATACAATTAATAGAGACAAATTTTTATTATAGTTGATTTTCTTTATTGAGAAATTTTTTTAGGAATTCAGATCTCTGAGTTAATGAGTGATTCTTTCCTCAATGAAAATTCCTAAGGAAAAAGGACATAGACTTCTGAATTATTTACAAGTAAGAGGCTACACAAGGATATTATTTGAATATTACTTGATATATTTTTGATATATTACTTGAGTAGAGAAATGTCAGTAATAAAACTGTTTTAGAAATGTTTAGAAAAAGATCTTTTCTTTTAATTCCAAGTTCTTAGCAACAACAGCTGTTTGTTATTTTTCCAAAACACATAGTGAACAAAACAGAAATTAAAACTCTATATACACTCTTATCCTCTTGTGTGGTAACAACCATAAATAACTGTGGCCTTCATCTGGAAACCTTCTAGTATTACTCTCTGAAGCACTAAACATCTGTATTCTTTGGAATGTAAATTGTGAAAAGTTATACTTTTTTCTATGTTTCCGCCAAAATAAATGGACTTATAAAATTTGGATGTCAGCAAATAAATGTCCTCATACTTATTATTGTCTATAGCTATTTTACAGTTTTCTAGATGATATATCTTTCAAAATTTAGTTTTATAAGTGAAATATATTACTAGTCTTATGTAACAATAAGTTTATTCATAGCCATATTTTAGCATATCAAAACTACATAATGGTAGAGAATGAAGGGAACAGTAGAAAAATAAAAATTGTCACTTCTAGATGTTTTTCAAGGTTAAAGGAAAACCTAAGATTTATATTCTTCATGATCAAATGATGGATTTAAAAGGGGGTTAACTCTTACTTCTACTCACCCAAATTTTGCAGCCTATAATTTTTCTCATGATCACAAATGCACAGACACGTATGCATGTGTTTACAGCAAGTTTTCTAAACTATAAAATTAATTTCCTACAGCGATATTCACATTATGAATAAAAATTACTTCAACAATCTCTGACTATTGTTTTTCAGATAAAAGGACCACTACTCACGTTAGTTCTGTGAATTCTTATTTAAGTAATGGAGCAGTAGACATTGCATTCATTCTCAGGCTCTTTAGAAACCAGATGTTATTTGTTTCTCTTTCCTCTTTCTCATAGAAATAAACATATCTGCGGAGGATCGTTGATAAAGGAAAGTTGGGTTCTTACTGCAAGACAGTGTTTCCCTGCTAGGTAAAGTGTTTAAAAATCAATATCTGTTTTGAAGACGCAAAAGTACCTATACCTTCTACTTAGCTTTTAACAGTGCATTCATTTTTACAGAAATTCACCAACATGCATGAACAAATTCACTATTTAAAAAAAAAAAAATCAGCTAAGAAAGCTCTGAATTCAGAGGTATTTCCAAGTGCAGGAAGACTTCAACTCAGTTCTTTTAGCATTTGTTTCATGTGGAAATATATTTGCTTGAGCTTTGTAAATAAATTATGTCCCCAACTTCCACTTGCACTTATTAAATAGATAAATATTCTTCACCTGAGTTATCAACTAACTTCTTTTGACCCTTGATTCTGCTTTCTTATGAAGAGTTAGGCTTAGAGCCATCCTGGAAATAATTTCCAATGAAAATTAGCCTAAAAAATAATAAGGATGTGTAAGCTTATTTGTACGTCTTAACAAGGACATTTTGATTTTGTTTAACATTTTAACACTGGTAATAAAAATACACACATAAATTAAATAAGGCAAAAAATGCAGTAAAATGAATTTTTTTTTCAAAGAACACCTGAGGATTTTTCATAAGGGACTTTTTTTTGTTAGGCAAGTACAATCAATACTTCGTTGCTGTTTTTTCATAGCCACCTAGACTTTCAGTAATTGAAAGGTTGTTTATGCTTCAAAACTCCATGCTATTCAGAATTCCTCATTTCAAATATGCATCCCTTTATTCTTTGAATCAAATTTTAAATGCAGTTTGTTTACCTTTAGAAGCTAAAAATAATAACATGTAAATAGTATTTTATAACATGGAGTTGCACTTAAACTTGGTTTTTTTAACTTAGAAACAAAGATTTGAAAGATTATGAAGCTTGGCTTGGAGTTCATGACGTCCATGGAAGAGGAGAAGAGAAACGCAAGCAGGTTCTGAACATTTCCCAGCTGGTATACGGCCCCGAAGGATCTGATCTGGTCTTGCTGAAGCTTGATAGGTTTGCTCCTTTAGAAGATTGACTTAGGATTTGTTTTTAATGCAGATTACGATTACTGAAACAATTTTCTTCCACTTGGACTATCTTTCGACTTATCTCCTTTGTCATAAGTCAGATATCTGTATGTACGTGTACATGTATGTGTGTGAATTGCAGAATTTCATATAAAACTGAATTTTTATGATCAGTTTTAATAGCATTAACAAGTAAAACAATGAAGTTTTTGTTTTTGGTTTGCTGGGGGTTTTTTTGCCAGTCAAGAACTTGAATTCTGGGCGTGGCTACTGTCCTTAGGTATTTATTTGTTTTCTGTGCATAAGGCTAGAACTTCTAGCACTTGAGCTATATCCCCACAGACTTTTCTGCCTGGCCTGGCTTCAGTTGAGATCCTTAGCTCTCAGCCTCTTGAATAGCCAGGACTACAGGTGTGTATTGCCAGAATTTCTGCCCAGCAGAAAACAATGATTTTTCAAGTAAATACAGTGATAATTTATTCTTGAATGTTAGTAAACAAGAACTAAACAATGACTTTTCAATTAAATACAGTTATAATTTATTCTTGAATGTTAGTAAACAAGAACTCCCTTCTCTACCTATTGGAAATTTTGTCACTACGTGTTAGACATTTCTTTATTCCAGCTTCTTTTATTATTTTTATTTTTTAATTTAAATTTTATTGTAAAGGTGTTGTATAGTTATATAAGTAAGGTAATGAGTACATTTGTTTTTGAACAGTGTTAGTACCTCCCTCATTTTCTCCTATTTATTCCCTTCAATTCCCACAACCTCTCAAGTTGCAAAGTCCATTTCCAACATAGTCTCTAGTGAATATCACTGCTGAATTGGTTCACCTTTTGTCCATCATTTCTGTGATTCCCTTTCCCTTCCCCAAATCAGATAAACTTATATACAAGACAAAGGGTACAGAAATTTAAAAAAAAAAACAGTGACAACAGAAGATAGAGCACAGGAAAAAAAGATAGACAAAAGAAATAACTGAAAATCAGTACAATAATTAAAAAAAACACCTCTTGTTTTTCCATTTCTTGGAATTCATTCCAATAAACATCATTTTATATGGTCATATGCACATAGTTATTGAGGCATTGTGATCCTCTCCTAAGAATATCCTTCTTTGTTCTCACTGAGAATGATTTCAGTGCTGTTTAATAAATCATATAAATCTTTATTATCTATGCATAAGGAAAGGGACTCATGTCTAAATTATACTTAGAGCTCAAAAAATTAACTCTCCCAAACAAATCCTCAAAGAAACAATATGATTAATAGTGGGCTAAAAATTTAAAGATAGACTTCTCAGAAGAAGAAGAAGGAGGAGGAGGAGTAGGAGGAGGAGGAGGAGGAGGAGGAGGAGGAGGAGGAGGAGGAGGAGGACAGAAGACAGCTGAGGAGCTGGAGGGGGAAGGGAGGATGGGGAGGAGGAGGAGGGGGAGGGGGAGGAGGAGGAGGAGGAGGAGTGGGAGGGGGAGGGGGAGGGGGAGTGGGAGGGGGAGGGGGAGGGGGAGGGGGAGGAGAGGAGGGGGAGGGGGGGAGGAGGAGGAGGAGGAGGAGGAGGAGGAGGAGGAGGAGAGAAGACAGCTGAGGAGCGTGAGGGGGAAGGGAGGATGGGGAGGAGGAGGAGGGGGAGGAGGAGGGGGAGGAGGAGGAGGAGGAGGAGGAGGAGGAGGAGGAGGAGGAGGAGGAGGAGGAGGAGGAGGAGGAGGAGGAGGAGGAGGAGGAGGAGGAGGAGGAGGAGGAGGAGGAGGAGGAGGAGGAGGAGGAGGAGGAGGAGGAGGAGGAGGAGGAGGAGGAGGAGGAGGAGGAGGAGGAGGAGGAGGAGGAGGAGGAGGAGGAGGAGGAGGAGGAGGAGGAGGAGGAGGAGGAGGAGGAGGAGGAGGAGGAGGAGGAGGAGGAGGAGGAGGAGAGGAGGAGGAGGAGGAGGAGGAGGAGGAGGAGGAGGAGGAGGAGGAGGAGGATGATGATGATAAATAGCCAAGAGGATAAATAGCCAATTGGCGCATGAAGAATGTTCAACATCTCTGGCTACAAAAGAAATGAACATCAAAACAAAATTGAGATTCTAACTCACCCCAATTAGAATGGCCATTATCATGAAAACTAATAATAAAAGATGCTGGTAGTGATGTGGCCAAAGGGAGTTAGCACTACACTGTTGGTGGGAGTGTAAACTTGTTCAGTCACTCTGGAACACAGTATGGAGGTTCCTCAAAAGACTTAATATAAGGCTCCCTTATAACCCAGCAATCTCACTTCTGGGCATTTACCCTACTGTCCACAAACCAGCCCACACAAAAGCCATCAACACAACCTTGATCATTGCAGTGTTATTTACCATAGCTAAGATATGGACTCAAACCAGCTTCTTTTAAACAAGACTTTATTGTCTTAAAATATTATATGAATCATGAACAGTACATTTTTTAAGAAATTCATGTTGTGTTGAATCCAATTGAGGGCACTTACTGTTTTCTTTTCTTTTCAGGCCTGCTATCTTGGATAGTTTTGTTAGTACAATTGACTTACCTAATTATGGATGCACAATTCCTGAAAAGACCACTTGCAGTGTTTATGGCTGGGGCTATACTGGATGTAAGCTATTTTTTTAAAAAAGATTAGGCAATATATTTATTATATACATAAAATTTTCATTTGTTTCTGGCTTCTCTTGCCTTTTTCCTGCCCTCATTAACTGTATATTTCTTACACCATTCCAGTGATTAACTCTGATGGTCTGCTACGAGTAGCACATCTCTATATTATGGGGAATGAGAAATGCAATCAGCACCATCAAGGCAAAGTGACTCTGAGTGAGTCTGAGTTATGTGCTGGAGCTGAAAATATTGGCTCAGGACCATGTGAGGTAAGAAAGATGCTTTTTCATAAAGAATCTATGGGTTTATCCTGGGTTTTGTTTATTTTTCACAAATAAAAATTGTATACCAACCTGTTCTCAGATAGAGGAACCATAAAACCTAACCCTGGATTATTTTTGTCCATTTCTTTTAGTTACACATTGAATCAATTCATGCTTCAGAAACAGCAAACTGGGAGGACATTTGTCCTCAAAAAACCAATAAATAAACATAGCCAGAACCCTAGGAAGAAGTTGTTCATGTCAGAAATACCAAATCAGTTTAATATAATAGTTTTTGTTTGTCTAAATGATCTTCCCAAATTTTCCTTTTTAAACCTCATTAGTAATATCCAGAGACATGTGCCTGGATTTAAACTTTAATGGATGGTTTTGTTGAGTATGTGTACATGTGTACATCCCTATGTGTGTAGGGATATGTGGTTCTGTGTGTGTGTGTGTGTGTGTGTGTGTAAACAAACTGTTTTCTTAAAAATATTAAGTAAAGGTCAAAGTGTATGACTTTAAGAGCTGGGATGTTTTTACTTGTTAGTCAACTGTTCTTTACACATGGCTGGATTCCCATTCTCATATTACATAGAAAAGCTGCTGAAGTGTTAGTCTATTAGTCTAGATGGTTTTTTGGTGAGGAACATGTTCTCCAAGCCTCAAAGGAATGGGATTCTTGCTTATTATGCATAATATCATGAAAGAAATGGGCTTGATGATAGTGAAATGTTTGTTGATCATGTGAGAAACTGGGTACTCTAAGTGTGTATATTATATGCCTTGGGTACTACAGTGTGTATATTATATGCCTTGTGCTGATATTTTATTCCTGTAAAGGAAAGAAAATTCTAAATTAAAGAGCTTTCAGCACTGATTTAAAATAATGTGGAGAAAAATGATTTTGTTTATACATATTTTCCAGTTTGGTCTTTCCAGCAAATGACTATTAATGTGTGGCACAAGGGAAAATTATGGCAAGAGAATTCTACTGCAAGAAAAAATAAACCGATGTCGTTTTTGAAAACTCAAAGTGCTTTGTGAGTGTAAAAGTTTCCAGGAAGGCCCAATCTCAGTGATCCTCTAGAAAGCAGTGTCCTTTACCCAGCCCTGGAGCCATTATTCACAACACTTGGCAGCTGCATTTTCGAATAGCCTTAACCTAGTTCATTGTGTGTACTCTCTCAGTTCCCTGAGTCCATTTAGCCTTTGGGTATTTGTCCCTCTGACCTATATGGAGAATATTTGACTCTGAATTGATTCCACCACTTCTCAAAACTGTATTTATCCTCCAGAATGTTTACATGTATTTAAAGCTTAAAGCACTCACATGCACGCATACACACACACACACACACACACACACACACACACACACACACACACACACACCATTTGAAACAAAATATTTTAATCATTTTCTAAAAAATTGAAAGATAAATTTCCCTATATATTTATATTATAGCAATAGCATCACATCTACTATTATCTTCAAAATCATTCATATCAGGAAGCACTGATGCACTGTAGAGAGCTCCATATTCTTACAGAGTCACAGCTGACACAATCATGTTCAGATATTTTTCCGTATGTTTTGATGCTTAGAATATCAATGGCTTATATTCTTGCCCATAAGTGAACTGTACAATCACAGAACAAAAGTTACAATGATTTTGTTTGCATTTGATAACATTACCTTTAGAGAAAAAACAAGGTAGTCCTAAACGTTCTCCTTTATATGTGCTTTCCTAAAGCCAGTCTGTGCCTTCCTAGGAGGATGCATGGACACCTGTTGCGCTGCTCACAATGGCCAAGCTATGGAATTAGCCCGGGTGGCGATCCATAGATAAATGGATAAAGAAATATGATGTATATTCATTATATAGATTTATTTAGTCATAAAGAAAAAAATTTTATTGTTTTTAGGAAAATAGTTTCGATTGGTGAACTTCATGTAAGCAAAATAAACTGGACCTGCATACACACACACACACACACACACACACACACACACACACACACACACACACACACACACACAAGTGATGCAGCCCACTGCAGGTGTCTCATGCCTGTGATCCTTGCTAGTCAGGAGGCTGAGATCTGAGAATTGAGATTTGAAGCCAGTCTGAATGAGACTTATTGCCCATTATAGTCAGAAGTGGAGCTGTGGCTCAATTGGTAGAACACTAGCCTTGAGCTAAAAACTCAGATACAATGTTCTGATGAAGGATTAAAGAAAGGGGGAAAAATCTTCAGAAAGAAAGTATTTAATAGAGTTTTAATTGTGAAAGCCATAGGAACAAATTTTCAATATTAGGAGAACAAACTAAAGATAAATTTGAAATTATGAAGAAAATGCCAGGGGTTTTTGCTTTTCTGAACTCAAAAATGGCAAAACCCATTTTAAAAATGAAGAGATATTTTGGAAGAAGCATGGTATTCTTAAATGAAGACCACATGTGAGAGAATTAAGAACTTATTCATCTTTATGTATTTCAATCTTAACTTAGTAAATTCCATAGAAAGCAACCAAAGGTCTAAATGACACTCATTTTTATCTTCTGTTCATGTTTATCTACCCTTGACAGTCAAATCAATATATATATAATATTAATGGATTTTTATTTTTATTTCTGAAATAATACTTTATTGTGTTGCATGTCTTTTTTCCCAGGGGGATTATGGTGGCCCACTTGTTTGTGAACAACATAAAATGAGAATGCTCCTTGGGGTCATTGTTCCTGGCCGTGGATGTGCAATCCCAAATCGTCCTGGAATTTTTATCCGAGTAGCATACTACGCAAAGTGGATGCACAAAGTTATTTTAACATACAAGGCCCAGCAGTCATAGCTGAAGTGTCTGAAGCATCCATCAACCCATAGAAATCTTACATGAAGATTTCAGAGAATGTGGAACTAAAATGTCAGCTGAAAGAATTTTAAAACAACTACTTGAGTGTCCTGTTTGTTAAGATACTCACTAATATATAGGGGTGTTATCTGTTGTTCTGTTTGTCAGTGTTATTTTTGTAAATGTTGAAATGAATTAAGGTACATGCAAGTGCAGTAACATATCTCCTGAAGATACTTGAATGGATTCTTTAAAATGCAAAGGTATAATTGCCAGATGAGAAAAGATTGAATGGAGAAGATCAAGTAGTCACTCACTATGCTGCTTTCCAGGTTAATTTCTTAATGGTAAATAAACTGTAAGTTAACTATTATTGTAACCTCACGAAGACAATTTATAACTTGTGTTCTTAAATTGTATGTCTATATTGAATTATGACTTTTCATGTGCCACATGTTGCAGTTCATCCATTCTTTCTTTCCATGTAACCTGCAGTACTGGCCTACGAGTATACTTAACAAAACAACAACAACCAAAAAAATGCCCATTGCAAAGCCTGGAAACACAGGTGTCATGCACTGCAATTAAAATGGTGGTGTCTTCAATATAATCTAAATTGTTTGGAGGTATGTGCCTATAGTTTTTCTTCAAGATAAAAACATAGAATATAAACAGTAAAAATATTCAGGAATGGTGCAGGATAGAAATGACTTTTATGCACTATCTATAGATGACCTCCACTGGTAGGCATTTAAAATAAGGCCAGGACCCACTACTTAAGTAATCCCTAATCTAGGTGTTTACATATATTTATTATCCTAGTTATTTCCTGTCATTTTTTAATTACTAAAGTGAAGAGAGTAATGTGTGTATTTGCACTATTACTTTCCTCAAAATTAGTACCACTTATTTATATAAGGTACCTGTAGATCTATTTTCATAAACCATTTTTAAATTCTCAAGTATGTGTCTCAGTGAAGAAATTTATGGATTTTTTTTCATTAAAAGTATATGTAAATAGGTTAATTTCAAGACTTCCTACTGTGATTGGCTTCTAACTCACTCTCCTTAAATTGAAATAATAAGAAGATGCAAGTTCCCATGTCTCCCAAGTTTTATCCATGTTTTCTCATAAAGTTATGCATAAAAGCATATTTTGGAGGAAAAAATGGAACTTTGTGGAAGTTTTATTCTTGCAAAAGGGGGAAAATAGTATAAAAAGGAAGGAAAATAACTAGTTTGTCTAAACTCTATTTGATTATTTTGTTCAAAAGATATTTGAAGCTCATAGATCAAACGTTTTATCAAGATATTTCATTTTATCTTACTTTATTTAACATAGCTCTTTGCTAATGCCATAGGGATTGTTCATTTAAATTTTTATTCTGTCATAGCTAAATTATTATGTTATCATAGTGACTAGCCAACAATCATATTTATTAATCAATTGGGATTACAAAGAGTAATAGGAGAGGTTCTCATTTGTCACAAAAATCTTCCTGTACAAAACAGGAATAAGTACAAATAACTATCTTAATGTTTGAATCTGTTGTTCTCATCCTCCTTTCTATTATTGTTTCTCTTAAATCTTCTTTGTTAAGAACAAGCAATGTTCTTCAGTGTCTTTAATGTACTGTTTAATCTGGAGTAAAATGGTTCTAAATTTACTGAAGAGCGTAGTTGACAGAGAACAGGGCAATAAATCTAGAAATGCTCATGCAAATTGTACACACACACACACACACACACACACACACACACACACACACACACACACACATGGTAATAAAGTGGCACTGTGTCAGGAAACAGAGAAAGCAAAGAGACACAACTAGTTGCCAGTATACACCGTCTTGCCTTGATTTTACTTCTTTTACCCTGATATAATACAACACTTTAATAACCATATATAGGAATTTCAACTATGTATTTTCAAAATATTGAAGTACTTTTCCTAGTTTCTTCTTGCTGAATTGGCCAGGCTTCAACACGTTTGTCATATTGGTAAAACTATAATAACATCTATAATACTTTAAAATATTCACATTTACAATACTTCTCGTGGTTTTGTTGTAAATTTCCAAGAAAAGAAAAGTAGAGATTATCTAGATACTACTAACAATTTAGACACTTTGAACTCAGTGTTTTCCCTTGTGTCAACATCAATAAATCACTGAATTTGGTGGCCCTTTCTTGGGGAAGTGTTCTTTGTGATAGAGGGAAATGGATATAATTGACAACGAGAACTAGATGAACAAGATGCATGTTACTTTTGGTGGTAGGTCAGGGTATAATCATGCCATTATTCTCTGATGAAAGATATTATTTATTGAGTGTTTTTCTTTGAAGGGAGTACAAAATTTGAATTAATCCAAAAATCCATTTTATTTCACTAATGGATCTTTTAAATTAAAAGTTTCCAATGTTGTTCTTTGTTTTGGCTGTTGGCATTGTTATGGTTATAGGCTATTGTCACTATAGACATTTTTCTTATGTCTAGCAGGAACAGGAATGTAAAATTAAACTATTTGTTGTGATTCTTCTGCTGTGCAGAAGGGGCTGATAATCCTTTTGTATATTTCTTTAGTTTTATTGTAAAGTGTGTAATGACTTTTACCTATTTGCTGTGGGCAGGTCCTCAGTAGATTGGCTTATACTGAGTCAAGCTATAGTATTAACAGGCTCTTGCTTGCTGTTTGTGTTTCAACTGACAGGACTGTGAGACACTAGACAGCAAGGAAACTAACAATAATGGCATGTGATGGCAAAATTGTATTTCACTTATTCCTGTGAATATTTCTTGTTGGTACCAATGGTACTGTACAAAGTGAATGTGATAGCCACAACCTTTGATTGAAAACAATACTGTCAAGAAATAGAAATTTCTGTCTGATATTTTCTTGTTGTTCCTAAGCATTCCTTGTCTTAACGAAAGAAATACTTATTTGAAATAAATAAGCCTTATACTGATTCACTGAATTTTGTAAAAGCACTATATTCAATTATTGTATCTGATGTTTATAGAAAAAATTGATCTAAAATAATTTGAGTAAAATGATATCAGTTGAGAACTTTGTAACTACAACTTTTTACTAAATTGCTTTTCAAGATGGAGTCCATAAAAGACATTAGCTATCAATAGTTAACTGAATTTACAATCAAGAATTTGCCAATTACAAACCAAATGTCCAAATTTTGTAAACCCTGTAACTCTTGACAGTGTGACTTTAAAAACATTTCCATTTGCACAGAAAGTTTCTGTCTTTAGGAAACTGAAAATGGAATACTGTGGATATTATGACTGCTTGTCTGTGTGTAAATAGGAAAATGATAAGCTGCCTATTGAGTGGTATAGCTGGATGCATACCCCAAAAAGGGAACACTGTGGTTATGACTTGTATGATAAATCTCTGTAGTTAATAAAGTTGTTATTTTTATAGCCATAATTATATTATTATTCTTAATAATAATAAAATATTTTATCAAAATGCTGCCCTTTTTCTTATTATTATGAATATATTTACATGAATTCTAGAACTGTAAGGTAGAATACAGTAACATTAATTTTATTGACCAAAATTATGTATATTTTGTTACAAGAAATGTCTTATAACTTGTTGAAAAGAAAATGCTAAATATTATTTTGTTCCAGATTCCATTCCTCTCAGTATAACTAGTCTTCAGCAAACCATTTGTCTTTATAGACTTTTATTTCCCCACCTGTAAAATGATTCAGTCATCTTTCATATTTTCATAATGTTTTATTAATTTGCCCCATTTACAAAATTTTAAACGATGGCTTAATTTCCTTCCTTACATCACTGTAAGTTACAAAAGTAATTTTAAATTATTAGGTTCATCACATTTGGAGTATCTTTTCAAAATGTTTATCATATTCAGAATAAATATGAATCAATTGTGCTTATGTAATTACATTTGGAAGTAGTTAACCATGACTTAATCAAGTTCTCTGAGACACTATTGGTGATTTCAAACTATGTGATAGTGTTTTGATTTTTTCTTTCTAGTTGCTAGAACTCCATCTAATTCCAAATATACATTACATTCTATTAAGTAAAATATTAAAGAGAGCTTTTTAAATTTTTACAAATGATACATTTGCAATAGAGTTTACAGTTAATATCATGGGTAAGATAGATAGCACGAATTTATCACTTAAAGAGAAAATACTGACTAGGTGAGTGAGTCATTTGTGAAAATTACTTTTCTATACACAACAGAAAATATTTTTATTGAACAAAGAAAAGAGAGCTTTTAATTTTTTTATTGTAAAGATACTGTACACATGGGTTACAGTTACATGAGTAAGATAATGAGTACCTTGGCTATTGAGATGTTACCTCCTCCTCTGTTTTTCCCTTACTATCCCTTCCCTCCCCACATCCCCAACTGCCCCCCCAAGTTATAAAGTTCATTTTTCAACCTACTGTCTTGTATATCTCATTCTTACAATGGGTCAGCCTGTATCCCTGTTTCAGCATTTTGTTATTTTCCTTCCCCTCACCAAATTAGGAAAATGTACATACAAGATGTAGGGCACCAGAATCAAATACAGTGACAACAGGGGTTATACCATAGGTAGAAGAACAAACAAAAGAAACAACAAAGCCGGGCACCGGTGGCTCACGCCTGTAATCCTAGCTACTCAGAAGGCTGAGATCTGAGGATCGTGGTTCAAATCCAGCCTGGACAGGAAAAGCCATGAAACTCTTATCTCCAATTAACCACCAGAAAGCTGGAAGTGGCGCTGTAGCTCAAGTGGTAGAGCGCTAGCCTTGAGCTGAGGGACAGCGCCTAGGCCCAGAGTTCAGACCCCATGACCGACCGAAAAAAAAAAACTATTAAAACAGTTTCTCAAGTTTACCATACAAAGATTCAAAGGAAGAGGCAACAATGCTTGATAAGAAATGTACTCATTATCTTGCCCATGTAATTGTAACCCCTCTGTACAGTATTTTCACAATAAAAAATAAATAAAAATTAAAAAAAAGACACAGATTGAAAAAAAAAAAGTGTGATAGTTTACCATACACAGCTTATCTGAAATCTGATTCTTTTTGGTTGGTCGTGGGGTTTGAACTCTGGGCCTGAGCACTGTCCCTCACTCCTTAGCTCAAGGCTAGCGCTCTACCACTTGAGCCACAGTGCCACTTCCGGTTTTCTGGTGGTTTATTGGAAATAAGAGTCTCACGGACTTTCCTGCCTGGGCTGGCTTTGAATTGCGATCCTCAGATATCAGCCTCCTGAGTAGTTAGGATTACAGGCATGAGACACCAGCGCCCAGCTCTGATTCTTTTTAAACCTGGAAAATGTTGTTTCCTAATATAGTTGATTCCTGTTCATGATGCTTTAATGAATTGTTACATGTCCATGTCAGAAAGTACCTCCTCAGTCCACAATTCTTCTGAGCTTTACTCATCTTCATGAGTCCCACATTTGAACTAATACAGCATCAAAAGGGGCTGTCAATCACCCTTCAAACAATAACGAGCATGTCATGTAAAACTAACAGCAAAAGTTTTACTCCAAAGAAACTGTACTCTTCCTTTGTCCTTTGCATTTGCATTTGGACAATTTCATGGGTTACTTATGAACGCTGAATTTAAATTAAAAGAAAAAAAAAAACACTTGTAATTTCAGGTCACACTTTAAAGTCTGTGTTATGGCCTTAAGCCATATCAAAACAGAAAATACTTGGAAAACAAAAGCCTCATTTGTACTTTATGTCAGTGTATGCTTATGGAACAGAGAAGATTAGTTTTGTTGTTGTTGTTTTTTGGGTTTTTTTTGCCAGCTGTGGGGGCTGAACTCTGGGCCTGGGTGCTGTCCCTCAGCAATTCAGCTCAAGGCTAGTGCCCTACCACTTGAACCACAGCACTACTTCTGGCTTTTTTCTGCTTATGTGGTGCTGAGGACTCGAACCCAGGGCCTCATGCATGCAAGGCAAGCACTCTACCACTGAGCCAACTTCCCAGCTCCAGAAGATTAGTTTCTGTGGTTGCTGTTTGTCTGTTTTTTAGTTGGTCATGGGGCTTGAACTCAGGGCCTAAGTGCTGTCCCTGAGTGCTTTACCTCAAGGGGAGAGCTTGAGCCATAGCACCACTTCCAGTTTTCTGGTGGTTTCTTGGAGATAAGAGTCTCATGGACTTTCCTGTTGGGCTGGCTTTGAACCACAATCCTCAGATCTCAGCCTCCTGAGTAGCTTACAGGTATAAGCAACCAGTGCCCAGCAAGAAGATTAGTTTTTAATTGATTCATAAAAATTGTATATATTTGGGGGCCACCATATGAGCTCTTCATACACTCCCCCGCCCCGCCCCCCACACATGCACACCATCACATACTGTGTTTAACCCTCTTTCCTCTACTTTGTACAATATTCATGCTTTGGTAACCCCTATTCTATTTACAATGTTTATGAGATCAATTTGTTTTACCTTTTATTTATGAATGAGATCTTGCAATTGGTCTTCTGTGCTGAACAAGATTTTGTTTCTTATTAAGGCTTCATGGCTTTCCATTGTATATACGAATGACATTATCTTTATTCATTCATTAGTTAATAGGCACTTCGGTTGCTTCTGCTTCTTGACCGCTGTGACAAGTGCTGCAGTGACTGTGAAAGGGCAGGTGACTCTTTGGCATTCTGATGTCTTTGCCTTCGGAATATCCCAGAGGTGGTGCTGTTAGGTTACCTGAATAGTCTACTTACAGGTTAGAAGAACTCCCCATCAGTCTTCCAAAATGGCTCTGCTAGTTATCATCCCATCGACAGGGTGCAGGAATTCCTTTCTCTCCACATCCTTGCCAGCAGTTACTATATTCTGCATTTCTTGGACAATAATCATTTATCTGGAGTTGAAATACTGTCTCACGTTATTGGAGATTCATGCGTCCCAGGAGTGATCTTTAGCATTTTCTTTACATACAGTTAGCCATTTTGCTGTCATCTTTAGAAAAAAATGAAGACATTTGCTTCCTATGCCCATAAGGTTTCCTTCCTTCCTTCCTTCCTTCCTTCCTTCCTTCCTTCCTTCCTTCCTTCCTTCCTTTCTTCCTTCCTTCCTTCCTTCCTTCCTTCCTTCCTTCCTTCCTTCCTTCCTTCCTTCCTTCCTTCCTCTCTCTCTCTCTCTCTGCCTCTCTCTATCTCTCTCCCTCTCTCTCTCTCTTTCCCTCCCTTCCTCCCCCTTCCTTCCTTCCCTTTTTTCCCTTTTATCTTTCCTTCATGTCTTTTTTTTTTTGCTAAGGTTATTTGAACTCTTCTCCAAATTTTTAAGCTGTGTTTTACTCTTTGGGTTATTGCATTGTTTTTATAAAAGCTTTTTAGTGTGTTGTAATCTAATTTTTATTTTATTTACTTTACTTTTTTTAATTAAAAGAATCTGCTTATTCCAACATCCTAAAGTGTTTCCCTTAAGCTTTCTTCTATTTTCTTAATATTCGTTCTGACATTTAAGATTTTATACTATTTGGGGCTGATTCAATTATATGATGGTAAATCAGGGTCTAGTTTAAATCCTCTGCACATATATAGCCAGTCTTCCCAGCACCATTTATTAAAATGCTTTCCTATTCTTAATACCTTTGTCAGAATGAAATGGATGTACATGTATGGGCTTACTTCTGGGATCTCTACTCTTTTTCATTGGTTTCTTTCTGTTTTGGTACCAATATCAGACTGCTTAGATGTCTATAACTTCGTAGTATGTTTTAAAGTCAGGTAGTATAATGCCTACTACTACTTCTGCTACAACTACTTACTACCACTATTAGTGCTGCTGCTGCTGCTGCTACTACTACTACTACTACTATTTTACTACTACTTATGACTACTTTGTTTTCTTTGTCCACAGTGACTTTGGCTATCTGAGTACTTATTTTTTCACATAGATTTTATGATTTTTTTTCTAATTCTGTAAACAATATCATTGAGATTTTGTTAGGAATTATACTGAATCTTAAGTGGTTTATATATAGTATGGATATTTATCTTTCACAAATATGTATGCATTTATACAAATAAATATGCATTTATTTTTTCTCATTTCTTTATACAAGTAATTAATATATGTCAGCATTTTTATTTTTAATTACATTTTTATTATCTTTAAGTAGTTGTACATAAGAGTTACCATTCAAGTCAGTTTGTAAATTCAGTGCCTTTTAATTGATGTTATTGAATATTTATATATAAAAGGTTGATATTTCACAGATCACTGCTAATTCACACTATAATCCTAGCTACTCAGGAAGCTGAGATCTGACATTCACAGTTCAAAGCCAGTCGAAGCAGGAAAGTTCCTAAGATTCTTATCTCCAATTAACCATCAGATTACCAGAAATGGTGCTATAACTCAAAGGGGTAAAATACTGCCTTGAGTGAGAGAGTTCAGGGACAAGTACACAGGACCTGAGTTCAAGCCTCATTTCCAATTGTTTTTTTCTTCAATTACTTTCATCAGTGTTTTTAA